ACAACTCCACTGAGAGAAACCAAAGGAGTTCTTACCTCTCCTACAGACAAGAGTATCAAGTACCCTAAGTAGTCTGGCAACCTAAAGTCCAATTCTTACCAAGCAATGCCACAGCCCTTCTCCCAGCCCAGCAATTATCAGATAATTGAGCACATCGTCACAGCTGAGTGGGCTGTGCCCACACACCTCAATGCACAGTGTCAGCTACACACTCACAGAAATCACAATACTATTTAGAAAGGGAGCTGCCAGGTGAGGGGAAAAGTTACTAAGCTTTAGTTTTTATAATCGTTTGACACAAAACGTTCATTAGACAAAGCCACATGTCTTCCTTCTCACAAGCAAAGCCACTGTGTGGTGTACTGACACACTTCCAGCATGAAGTCTCAAGGCTGCTGGTCTCTGTATTTAAAGAAGTATGAACTGGGAAAAAAAAAAAGAGAGGAAAAGGAGTATGAGTAAGGAGGAGCGATTTTCCAAATAGTACTCCTGACCATTAAAAAGGAAATAACGACCAAGCATAATTAACATTCTTGACCTAGGATAGTTTATGACACATCTACTCTGTTATTTTTAAGCGAACTGAAAGTGCCTTTGATGTTAATAAGCACGTTCTTATGCTCAAAGCACTGTGTACACATACTCCCCAATCCCTGCAGCACACTTGCAAAGAAAAAAATCCAAAAAGTTACAATAAATCCCATATCTGTGTTTGGACAGTCCACAAAAATAATTCAGACAAGATAAAGGTGTAGTGCAAAACATCTTGCTCCCAAAAGCTTCCAAATAACCTTCTGGAACCAAAAGACACAGCTCCCATCGTCCTCAAAACCTTGAATATGCTCATATCTGGCTTTTACTTGTGTTTTTATACTGCACTTTGGAAGAAGTAAAAAACAGTACTAATTCATATTTTCTAAGATTGTCTGGTCACATAGAGAAGAACTTCCCTTAACTGAGCCACAAGATCTGCAAGACTTTCACAGAACCTTGTTAACGTTCACAGAAGCACAGAAGGTGCCGTGTCCTCCGGTTTCTAGGGATGTCTTTGTAAACATGAGATTATTGACCCACTGAGGGTGTCATCCATTAAGAGTACACTCTGTTTCATGGTTACCATTACTAAACAGTACTTGTAATTTAAAATTAATTGTTGAACTGCAAATACATGGAAGGACTGTGGACTGGTACTTATTCCAGAGCCAGAGGCAAATGTTTTCTGCCTGCAACACACAAGACCTATTAGTTTCCCTGTACACCTGCACTACATCTTAGTTCACAGGGATTTTCAAACTAAATGAAGATGCAAAATAGAAACTTAAACTGAAGAGAAATTTCCAAGTTTTAGACAAAGTATTACATCTTTTTTAATTTTTTTCTGAAATCTGTCTAAAAAGAGTGCAAGAACCACGTAAGTCTTTGTAAACTTCTTTTAAAAAGGCTAGGGCTCTGACTCTGTTTTTCCCCTGCTGCCTTCTCTGCTGGATTTTTAACAGGTTGGAGACAACACGCAAAATGCCTGAAGAGAAAGTAATCAGGAATTCTTCATTGTCTAGGCTCACTACAAAAGCAGAGAGGGCAAGGCGGGGGGGGGGGGGGGAAGGAGGTTTTAGAAATGCTTTGTTAAACACTGGAAAAAAGCAAGGAAAGAAAGTCACAGTCTGTAACAGGCACACACTGGCTGCACCTTACTTGTTTTTGCACACATGAAGCCAGAAGAGACATCTGGCCAGATTTCCTGAGTGCAGGCAGAACGAGGGCTCGTCCCAGGCATTACAAACCCACTACATCATGCAGGAAGTGGAAGAGTTCATGGGTGGGGACCGGGCTTTTGCAAGGAGAAAAATACTACAGCATAAATGTTTGCAGGAAACAATTTCATACAAGTGAGAGCAGAACTGCAAAATTCCCAAGGGGAAAAAAAACATCAAGAAAAGCCACACACAAAACTAGTGAAGGAACTCCAATTTGGAAATTATACTCTGAGTTCACCCAAACTCATGATGGCCTCAACTTAGATTCTGTTTCAGTTCTAAAACAAAGGACTCAAAACAACCCTGATACTGGACCTTTTTTTTAACAAAAGAACATTTTAGCTTGGTGAACAATGTTGGCCTATCTTTGTAGCAATGCCTGATGGTCTGAGTCAAAGAAATTCATACTGTAATTAAAAAGTGAAATAGTACCACAAATACTACTGAATTATCCATGACGGAGATGATGAAGCTCCTAGTTAGACATATTTTCCAAACTGTAAACCAAAACAAACCCCCTCTGTGCTCCTGAAAAGTTGCTTTCCCATCCTATGAAAATTACATTTGCTTAAAACAGTCCCCTTGAAAGGGTCCTCCTGTAACACAAGGGCCTATTTTCTTTTGTTTAAGCAATACAAAAGAAAATCACCACAAGAGAGAAAGAAAAGGGGGAGGTCACGGATTACTACAGAATCCCACGGCCAGCACTGAAAAGAGTTATCAGCTTCTCCGGGCTCTTCTCTGCCAAAGGGCTGAATTCAGCACAGCCCTTCTCAGTTACCAGCGCAGCTCCGATTCTGTCCAAGCAAACTCCGCAGTTCTGTCCTGGAACGCCTGACCTTTACGTTTCCAGCTGCAAGCCAAGAGGTCAGCGAGGCAGCGCTCGGGGCTCCCCATTCCCATGCGGAGCACGAAGCCGGGAGGGAGCGAAACCAGCGGGCACGGCTCCCACGCTCCGCTCCCCTCCCCTCCCCTCCCCGCCAGCCCCCGCAGGAGGTTCAGGTGCGCACGGCAGGGCGCGGTCAGGGGCAGGGTGCCGGGTCCCTGTCCCCCCATTCCCGATCCCACTCCCGACCCCGGGCCCCGCTCTCACCGCTCCCGCAGCTCCCACCGCCCGCACCGCGGCCGCTCCGCCCCCGCCGGGCAGCGCCACCCCATTGGCTGCCGGTCACGTGCCGCGCGCCGCTCCGCCAATCAGCGCCGCCGGAACGCCGTTTGGAAAGGTTTGGAAACTTTGGTGACTTTCAAAAGGCGCCGGGGGCGGCGGGCACGGGCTTGGCACTGGCCCTGATCCCGATCCCGATCCTGGTCCCGGTCCCGGTCCTGGTCCTGGCCCTGGTCCCGATCCTGGTCCTGATCTTGGTTTTGGTCCTGATCTTTGTCCTGGTCCTGGTCCTGGTCCAGATCCCGTTCCTGGTCTTGATCCTGCTCCCATTCCTGATCCTGATCTCGATCCTCATCCTTATCTTGATTCCATTCCTGTCTCAGTCCTGCTCAAGATCCTGATCCTGTTCCTGGTCCTGATCCTGGTCCCGGTCCTGTTCCTGATCCTGATCTTGATCCTGTTCCTGGTCCTAATCTTGATCCTGTTCCTGGTCCTAATCTTGATCCTGATCCTGGTCCTATTCCTGCTCCTGATCCTGTTCCCGTTCCCCATCCTGGTCCTGTTCCCAACTGTCCCCCGTCCTGCTCCCGGTCCTGGCCGCACCAAACCCCCTTTGTCAGTGTTCCAGGATCTACAGTGGGTACCAGGGGCTGCATCTTCTGAGGTGTTAACTGTGTAAACCGGTGTAAACATGCCAGCAACAGCATAATTTTAAAGACATGATTTGCCTTGGAATGTCCTAAAGGAGGAAAAGCTTTACATCAACTTTTTTTATTATTATTTTTTTAATTCCAAAGGCCTCTGCTGGAAAAGCAAGCAGTGAGACAGCACCTCTAACTATTTTTAATGCCAGCACAACATCCTTAGACCAAAGTCCCCTTTTCCCAACCACAAGGACAAGTTTCTGTGTCGCTGAAGCACATGGTGCAAGGACAAAGCAGTCTATGAAATATTAGACACTTCCACTCATCTACATCTCAGCATGATGTCACTGTTCCAGAAAATGAGCCGCAGGCATCCGCAGGGGAATGGAGCTCCTGCAGACATTGGGACAGAGCCGCAGCCCATCCACTGCAGCCCGTGGATTCCCTGCCGTGCCCTCACACGCAGGACTGATAGGAGAGGGACCGAGGTAGGCAGAGGCTTTCTCAAGTGCCCAGGTGTGTTCCTACCGACCGTGTACACAAACATTTGCTCACTAGTCTGCCTGGCATTTGTTTCCTGAGTCAAAACCAAAGCACAAATTATCACACGTGTATCGCTCCAGCCCACACAGGCACGGCCGTGCGTCACCCAGTATCACCTCACACCCGGCAGCAGCTTCCCGAACTGCTGGATGAGAGACAGCCACGTGCAGGAGTCCTGATCCCAGTTTCATTTACTGCTGTGATGCAATACCAGGCCTGGAGCACAGTCTGACTCTGAAAAGACTTGTCTAAACTGGGAGTATGTCTTTTCCAAAGACTTTGTAGAACAAGGCTGCCACAGCAACTAAGTGGATGCACACTATATTCCACTAAAAGAAATCTGTCCATAGCCAAAATAACTTTAACTGAAAAGAGTGAGTAAAACTTACATTTTCAGGTCAGATGTTCAGCAGAATTAAATGGAGACAACTATGAAGAGAAAACTAAATTATGTATTTAAGAAATTGGGTTAATAGTACTTGCAGTTCTGTCATTACTCGAGAATGTTTTTATTATTGGATAAGTTGCAGGAAATAAGCCACGTACTATTGTAGTATGTGCCCAGTAATTAAAAAAATTATACATTGTTCACAAGTTTGGGACAAAGGACATTTTACTTCAACACTTCAAGCAAATGTTTGAGGACAGTGTGAGTTCACAGATGATATCAAAGGTATGCCTGACTATTTTTAATATTTCTCATCTTGGAGTACTTGTAAAACACAGCAAAACTTCAGAGATTTCAGAGGATGCTGAGAGCCCCTCATCCAATTCTGAAACATTGTAACAGCACCCTAACAAATGCCAGGGGCTCAGAGGCACTACGAGGGGCACTGCTGTACACCAGCAATAAATATCTTTTTAAAACAAAGGTCACTGTAACCACTCTGACTGCCTTCTTTGCCAGAAGAAGGAGAACACTTGGCTATTTCAAAATTAGCAGAGGAGAAGAAATTATTTTATGCATTTATTTTTAGTTTGCTGATTAATAATTAATAACTGGCAGATCTTTGTGGTGCCAGGATTCATGTGCTGGTTGTTTTGATGAAAAGGCCATACTGATTCTTCCATGAAAGCTAAGTGGACAAAAATGTATAGACTGTAAGTTCTGGTAAGGTTGCAACACCTTATCTTTTGGCAATAACCTTCTTATGGGAAAAAATACTTGCTTTGCTGCAAGAATTAAATAACTCACCACAGAACCACCCACCCTATTGATGGAACAGGAACTTCTCATCAACTCTTACTGTAAACTACTGAACTTTTTTTTTTTTCAAATGGATTACCCATAACAAGATGTGACAAACATGTATTAGAATATCACATGGAAATATTCCTATCACTGAAGAGCGAGTATTTAATATCAATGAAACCTATTTCTGTCTCTTTAAAGATGTTATATAATTCTCTGCAGTCTGTATATGGATTTGCACATGCTTAAGCAAGAAACAGATTCTCACTACTTTAAAAACCTTCTGATGTCTTGAACTGACTAATCTGTTGATGAAACTGTCAAATGCTCATTGATAGCACTGGCTTGTTAAGCAGAGCAGAGCACAGCACCACTCACAACCTTGGCACACAGCAGTTACACCCCCAGTGACCCCACCAGCAGGGGCAACACTGGCTGTAGCTGTGACCATTGTCACCAACACTTCACCTTGCTGCTGCCTGCAACCTGTTAGGCAAAGGTCAAGGTAAAATGCCAGCTTAGCCTGCTACCACGATGTCACTTAAAATATACTGAGCCACCAAAAAGCTCTGTCACTCACCTCCCTCCCTGAGGGGCTCAGCTGCCCTCATGCCAAGGAGCAAGCCCAGCTTGGATGATATGGCTGCACAACTTCAGCCCAGACTTCTGAAGGAAGAGACTTCTGAAACAGGGCTGTGCCTGTGGAAACACAAGAGAAGTTTTGGAATCAGAATGAGAATGGTGTTGATAACACACTGATGTTTGGGTTTTTGCTAAGTCGTGTTTATCATTAGTCAAGGACTCCTTGGGTTTTTTTATGTCTCATGTTCTGCCACTGAGGAGGTGCACAAAAAAACCTGGGAGGGACCAGGTGACATGAATGGGCCAAAGGGGTATTCCCACCACAGAACATCATACCCAGTATACAAACTGGAGGGAGTTACCTGGAAAGGGGACCAATCTGGGTTTGGGGAGGGGAGTCTGGCATCGGTCAGCAGGTGGTGAGCAATTGTATTGCACATCACTTGTTTGGGGGTGGTGGTGTTTGCCTTTCCCTTTTTAATATCATTATTATTATAATTTAAAATTATTACTGTATTTCACTTTGGGTTTGGTTTTTAAACTGTTCTTATCTCAACCTACAAGTTTTACTTTGATTCTCCTCCCCATTCCACCAGGGTTGGGTGGAGAGAAAGAGGTTGAGAGTGGTGCTTAATTTCCAGCTGGGCTTAAATCACAACACATATAATACAAGTTTTATGGCACATGTGGTAGTCTTGGTCCAGTTCATTATACTTTCATTTACATGCACAAATTTCCTCCGGGGGTGTCTGTTTTGGCATTATAATCACTTGATGTGATGTGAGGTTACATTCCATCCTATCAGCTACCACCAAGTTTTTATTTAACCTTATACTCTTTTAGTTTCTGCTTGAATCTATTTGAACAACTGGTTGTCAAGGAAATAAGGATTTGTGTTGTTCTGTCCCTGGGGACTCTGCATTCCTCCATCACTCCCTTCCAAGCTTCCACAGCCTGTGATTCTGAGATTCTGTGAAACCCCGCTGTCACAGAACCCCAGACTGTGTAAGGTTGGAAGGGACCACAGTGGGTCTCTTGGTCCCCTCTCCCTGCTCCAGTAGGGTCATCCCCGGGCACACGGCACAGGATTGTGTCCAGACGGTTCTGGAATATCTCCAGGGAGGGAGATTCCACACCCTCAGTGGGCAATCTGTTCCAGTGCTCTGAATGAAGTTCCTCCTCATGTTCAGGTGGAACTTCCTGAGCATCAGTTCCTGCCCGTTCCCTCTTGTCCACCCCCGAGCAGAGCCTGGTCCACCCTCTGACACCTCCCTTTAGACATTTATACGCACGGATGCCATGTCTGTAACGCTGCTGGCAGTTCCCACGAGGTTGCCGTGTGTTTTCCCCTCACGCCCCCGGGGCCATTTAAAGCCGCCGCGTTAAAGGGGGCGGGCACAGGGTGTTACGACAGCCGCCTTTTGCGGCAGCGCGGGTTTGCGGCGCGCGGCGGCGCCCGACGGCAGAAGGAGCGGAGCGGGAGGAGGAGGGAGGACAACAAAGGGCCGGCGGGGCCGGGCCGGGGCCGGGGCGGCGGGGCCGGTGAGCCGGGGCGAGCTGGGACGGGGGGCACGGCGGGCACGGCGGCACCGAGACACCGAGACGGGCCCCGGCAGCGCGGGGCTGCTACGGTGGGGACGGGCAGCTCCCGCGCCCCTCGCGGCACGGCCCGTGCCGTCCCCCTGCGGCGGCCGCGGCCCGAGCTCGGTGTGGGGCCGGGGAGGGTCGTGCCGGGCTGGGAGCGCCCCGGGAGCCGCGTGGCGCGGGGGAGCAAAGCGCGGGCACTCGTGGTTAACGCCACTTTTGTTCCTTTCGCTTACCGTTTAAATTCCCAAAGCAATCGGTGCTGTGAGGCGCTTTGGAAAGTACCGTGCTCTAGAGTTGAAGAACTTGGTGAGCTTGGCATTTTGGACATCCACGTATGCGTATATATAATTTTTGGATACGCAGAGTTTATGCGAACGAGTATTTCTGCTTTAAAAAAAGAAAGCGAAACTTCTTTTGAGTTCAAAACAATGCAGGGGCAGATGTAATGTTATGGGATGTATTCCATGGTGTTATCGTGTTTAAATGCAAGAGAAGCTGAAGGAGTGTAATTAATGAATGCAGCACGTAGTTGAAGGGTAAGAAGACTTTATTGCTTGTCACATTTTTCTGGTGCTGTGTGACTGGCCCTTAGGTTGCTTTGTGATCCTGTAAAGCTAAATTCATGTGCTGTGGGGCAGCCTGAGGATTAGTAGAAGTATTTGTAAATCATTTGAATAATTTGAAGCTCTATTTAAATGCAAAATGCTATGTGCTTAATACAGGTATGTATAGTTTTGGTAGCCAGTGGAAAGCCAATGAATATGCCGTTGAATTTTTCCGGCTGAGTTCAGTTGCACCTGTTTTGTATTTGCTGTTGAGCTGTTCTTGCCAACCTGCCTTCTGGCTCCTCTTCCTGGGAGGGTGCCCTGGAAGTTTCAGGGCACTGTTTTGTGCCAGCAGCTGTGCAGTTGTGTGATCCACACAATGGATGCCGAGGACTTCAGTGGTGCTTCCCTCAGACTGGCTCTCCTGTGCTGCAGGTGATGAGGAGCATTCCTGTGTTAAATAGGAATAGCCAAGGCTGTGCCCATGTCCATTATGAATTTAACAGAAATAATGCAGGTTCAGTGATGGAGCAATTCTTAAGACCACCATGGTTTTTCTGTCGTACCTTAAAAGGTATTCAAAGCATACTTTTTTTTTTCCCTCTAGCAGGTGGGAAGAATGAAAGGAAGGGGGGATGAGAGGATGTTGAACCTTTTTGTTTGGCTGTATGATGGAAGGAAACAGGACAGAGAACGTCTGCAATAGATCCTTGGGATGGCTTCAGAGACAAGAGAATGATGCTAAACCATGGCTCTGGAAACTTTCTAATTGCTTTTCTGCTGCTGAAAAGGCTTTGCCTTGTGGTGCAAAAACGGTAATTCCTGACTTTCCCTAAAAGCACAGTTGGTCTCCCAGTGCCGGGGGGGGGGGGGGGGTGGGGGGGGGGGGGGGGGGGGGGGGGGGGGATGACTGACCCAAGGTCGGAGTGGGGAGGGAGAGGAGACAGCAGTTCCCACAGTAAATACAAAATCTGCCTGGGGATTTAAGGCTTTCAGTTGTGTTTGTAGCACTCCCATCAGTGTGGGGAGAACAGGCAGGTTGCTTTGCTTGACAGGCTTTACTCTCCACAGCTGTTTGGGGTAATACAACTAACTGCTGAAGAGGTGTGTAAAGCAGCTTCCTGAAAGCTCTGCAGAGTTATTGCTGAAGAGTTGAGTAGAGGGGTAATCTTCATACTTCTAGTTCTTTATCCATTTAGCTTGGAGGCAAATTTCGTTTTCTGAATAATAATTATTAGTTACAGCAATTGTGGATATTATTCTTCACTGATGTCTTAATTTTTCCTTGGTTCCATTTCTTTAAATGTTCCTTTTCTGTAGTGTATGTGATTCTGTACATTTAAGATGAAAAATTTTAAGGAATAGAAGAAATAGTACAACACAATTAAGTACTTGAGCAAGTGAGCTCCAACTATTAAGTGACATTCATGCATGTTCAGTCTGATTTTAAGTAAAGGACATGGGGGAAATGGATAAGCATATTGCTGTCTTCATGTGTCAGGGGTTAGGAAGGCAGCTGCTATAAAATCTGGAATTTAATATGTAAATCAGTTCCAGACAGATCTTTGGCAGAGTTTATCTCTGTGAGATATGGCGTCAAGTGGAGAGGAATGGTTTTGAAGTTGGGTGATCAATTATTCATTAATGTGTAGTAGGAGATGCATTAAATTCAATTTGGAAAATAAAAGTTGTTCAAAGGCTCTGGAGCAATGTGTTCTGTGCAGGTTATCTCTTCTGACCTTGGCTGTTCTGTGCTACTTCTAACCTTGCTTAGTTCTCACTGCTGACATTAAAAAAAAAAAAACACATCTGTTTTTGTCTATGCTTTTATGTCTGTGCATCTTGATATCTTAAATCAGAGTAGGCAAAAAACAGTTGTGAAACTTGAGTCTTGTTTGCCCTCTGTTGTATTGATACAATTTCTAATTTTTTGAAGTCTTAATCTTTTAATGCATTACTCCTTTAACATTAATACAATTCTAAAGTCCTCATTCAAATACAACTTATGTAACTGTAAGTTGTGAAGCTTTTTTACATCATATCCATATGTGTTTCTTCTTACAAGGAACCTCTTAGCCTTAGGCAACAGTTTTCTGCTTTTTAGATTCTGTTTCATAGACACACTGCTGTTTGGTTTATAGCTTTTTGGGTTTGTTGCTTCCAACAATCTTCTACTGATACCAGTATACCTAAGGCTGGCACACATAACTGGCATGTTTCTTCTAATATTTTACTTGTTCATTCAGTAAGGTAATACTAGTCATAAAGATAACACCTTAAAAAGTTTCATTTATCATCAAAATTGTAACAGTTTAAAAATATGCTGCTCATCCTATGAAATTGTTGCTTTGTTTATGTATCTGAATGTAACCGAGCTTTCCTTTTTCCAGAAAGATTACATGGAGAGCAAGAAAGCTGCTGTGGAATTGAAGGGTGCTTCATCTCCTCACAATGCTGGCTCTAAACTCTTTCCAGCTGTGCCGCTTCCTGATGTTCATCCTCTCCAGCAACAGCAATTACAGCTCTCCCCTGGCCCCAAAGTAAGCTGCTGTGCTCATGGCTCTGACTCTTCCTGTCCTCCACAAATGCATTGTGGTGGTGGTGGTGGTAACTTGATTCACCCTGGCACAGTATTAGACTCAAAAAGCACTGGGACGATAACTTGTCAGGTGGGGTCAGGATTTGCTTACCAGTCTGCATCTTCACTGAAGAACCCTCCAGCCAGAAGCGGCCTGGCAGGAATTTCCAGTGAATTCTCTGGCATGTGCGTAGAAAACAGTGTATCCTCCTGTCAGCATCTGGCCTGTTGTGGGAAACTCCATTTCCAGCCCTGTCACGGTAACGTGCACAAACTGCATCAGTTCCCAGCCCTGCAGAGCTGCACATCTCCTGGCTATTTCCCTTGTCCTGAGTTCACAAGTGGGGCTCCAGCCCACCTGGACGAGCACCTTGCACAGTCGGAGCTCACGTCCCGTGTGTGCGCCAACCCTCTGCACCTAAACGTGGCCCCTCCCGTTTGTCTGAAGGGCTCTCACTACTGCAGTGACTGCTTGAGCAAGGTTTGTACACCTCACACTTCTCACTTCTTAACTGGGGAGTATGGTTAATGCTGAAATTGTGTTACTTGAGCAAAACACCAGCTTCCATGGGTGCAGCCTGCACCCCCCTAGTTGGTGATGCACAGTCCAGGTGCACCAGGTACCCTGTTGGAAGCTGATCTCTTTTCTGAGGTCACATTCAGTGCATTAGGAAGACAAAGGACCTATTACAATACTCAGCTTCCAGGGGATTTGTAAAGTATTCAAGTGGAATTGTTACTGGATTTGAAAGACAGTTACTCTTCTTCACAGCTCCAATTAAGGTGTTCTGTAGTAAGGACTCTGACTAAAGGCTAACAGCAGTTAACAGGTACCCTTGGGCAGTTGATCAGTAAGGAGCCATTTGTAAGTCAGGTGATTCATCTTATGCTAACAAGGATATTCTGGTTTTGGTTTAGTTTGGTAGGTCTTAGTTCAGCCTTGCCAAATTTGTAATTTATACTTCAGTACCAATTTGGTCCAATTCAGAACTCATTAGAACTGTGTTTGAATATTACTAGGAATTCCAAATGAAATAATATACTCAGCTTTGCAAGATGTGTTACTTAAACTTCCAAGCTTGAGTTTCCAGTAGAAGAGTGAAATGTCACTTCAATAAACTAAGTGGTGAATTTGGTATCTATGGAATCATCACTTCTTTGGGAGGGGGAGGAGGGCGTTTCAGCCTTGTACTCTGAATTGTGCAGGTTTCACATGCAAGGTCTTTGGTTGGTTTTTTTGGTTCTTTTTTTAAACATATTAATACTACTTAAAGGTGGCACCTCTTGATATGTTGAGTTTAATAGAACCTTTCCTTGTATTGGGAAATCTAGGGTTAAGTATACTGGGAAGGATTCTAGGATAGCAGCTTCCTTTATGCAGTGATACTGTTGTTAATTAACTTTGTTGAGTACATCTGAACTTGCATTTGTTGCAGAAGGGAATCTGAGTGTTTCTAGCATGGAATGGCGTGTATTAGTATTCTATACTAAATGAACATGTATTTTGAAAAATTGTCCCAACAGCCAACCAGAAACAGCTTAGTTGATGCTGCTAAAATCTGGCCAAATATTCCTCCTCCAAGTGCACAGACTGCACCTGTTCCAATCCCAATCTGTAATGGCTGTGGAACCAAAGGAGCAGGAAATGAGAAGAGTTTGCTACTGGCAAGCAGCCTTGGCAAATCACCACAGAAATATGGTAAACCACATTTGTTTGAAACTTCCATGTAGTGAATGTCCTCCTTTTAAATACTGTTGCAGAGCAAGAGTTCTCTTAAATTGCACTGT